GATTTAATTTAATGAAATATCTCCCCAGTAGAAAGAACAGCAATTTACAAAGACGACTCGTTTCATCTTTCACGGAAAGCACAAGGTAACTTGCCAAAGCACTTACATTATTACTTTTCCGTCGGCAGAGACTGAAAGCGATACGTTCTTAAGCTTAATAAACGTAGAATAATAACAAACACTAGTCTTGTTACGTTCTGCTTGATATAACAAGACTCTTCTTTTATGAACTCTGTACATTGTACAACCCCTTTTTTTTTTTTTTTCCGTGCGGAAATCCCCTCGGATACTACCTGTCGGTGGCATGTCGGACTCGAACCGACTAAAACCGCACGCCGTCTCGGGTACTAATAGCCAGGGAACCAGGTATACCCTAGAAATGAAGTCCCTGGTACTCTGTACAACCCCTGAATACATTATCTGGTAAAAAAATCATAACCTCCAGTCTAAAAAAAAAAAACACTGAAGTTTTATTTTATATTACACTTAGTTTCATTATAATTTATATTAATTAAATTTGTATGTTTAGTAACCCAACATTAGAACAGCAAAGTCTGTCAAGGGGTGTTTAGTAGGCTCTTACAAGTAACTTGGATACGCAACAAGGAATTAGCGCTAAGAAAAACTCTATTTTTTGTCATATTAAAAACAATAATGTTTAGAGAACGATGGTTTGGTTGAGTGCAATGATAGTGCAATATAGCCAAATAGTGCAAATATGTTTGCACTATTAAGCAGAGCTTGTACTATGAAAGCTAGATTGACTGATAGAATACTCATACACTTTTTTATTTGTAAATACATAATAAACACCCAAACTTCGTATCAAATATTTGCAGAGCATACATGTATTTGGTCCAACCCAGGTATTGAAACCGAGACCTCAGAACGGCAATCGCATACGCTACCACTGCACCACCAAGGTAGTCACGCAAATATAAATGAGAGAACAATTCTTTGGCATACGTAAGCTGGCTGGATTGGTGGCGTTTCTTTCGTTGCGTTTGAGGGGCGGGTGTCCATGGGCGGCGTTAATGACCTACCATCAGGTGTCCGTTTGCTCGTTTACCCCTCTTACTGGTATAAAAAAATACTTGAAACTGGTTTTACACTACTATTTGGTTTCATATAAGTTATGGGAACAAACTACGCATGACAACAGCATTTCACAGAGGAGGAAAACTTTAATCGAAAACCAGTCTAACAGGGGTGGAATGGTAGGCCAAAACTTCCTTTCTAAAGATGTTGAACAGTGAACTACTAAAGGCTGTTGATGATCTTGATAATAACATGGTGGACAGATGGTAATAATGGTGGATAGATTCTTGTAATTTCGCATAAAATAGTATAGATTCATCCTAACTCATACTCAAAATATCTTTATTTCATAAAAAAAAAAGTTTGAAATCGTCTTTTATGTCGACTCTAAAGTCCTAGATCAACACACACAAAAACAAAATCACTGTTTTGTTAAATGTTTAGAGAAACAAATATAATCAAAATTATACCTATCGAAAATCAAGGTTGTTTGCAAAGGCTTGGGCCTTATGTCGTATATAATCGTGTATAATCGTAAACAAACTCTCTACATTACACTACAAAGCCTACATTACATTACAAAAGCTTTCTACACAGGTTTTTACTATAAACGTACTCAATAATTATCTAAGATTGGTGATTGGCAATACTACAGCTATAATTATAACTTTATTTTATTATGTTTCTAAGAATTAAAATGCCACGTCACACAAATAAATAATATTACGTACACATAAGACTTCACCACCTTTTATAATAATATTCCGATGTCATTTTTTTGCAGAGACATGTTTTAAAAATACTCATAATAAAAAAAAATGTGCGTGAATTGAGCACAGTAGTTAGTAATAATAATATCATGATATTTAAGATATCTCATCTTGATAAGTAACGCTTCGCTGGTTTATTATAAAATATGGACTCTGAATATTGGTTTAATAGCAAGCGATTATTAATATAAATTTCATAGACAAGACAGTTTAATCTCTCATGGCTCTTCCAGATCATCTAACCGATGCGATGGAACGAAAGGACTCATGAATCAATAAAGATAAGTTAAACAGCTTTCAGAAAATGAATAATATATTTTTAAATTGATAGATCATTAATAATAATGAGCTATCAATTTGAAAATGAACTGAATAAAAGTTCACAAAGAGTTTATTTTGGATGTTGAACAAATTAAGCAATGTAGACAATATTTGCGGTCACTATAAAATTCAGAGAAAATAATTTGGTGGTCTGGGATAAAAAAAGGAACTATAAAAAAGAATAAAATGAAAAGAAAATTTGCAGATTCAGTAACTTGAAATTAAACATAATACATTATTTGACATAATATAGTTTATAGAGCAGGTTTCATATAATCTTTTATTTAACGTAATGTAATATATAATTAAAGCGTCAAAAATATTTTGATTTTGGAAATGATGATTGTAATCAAAAGCATTCGACCGTAGGTTTCAAGAACAAAAATAACTGAAGTTTGGCTGGCGGTGGCAGAAAATACAGGATGACGTTGGAACATAACACTAACATAAAAGTAACTATGCTGGTGATTGCGTTATAACTAAAGCTTCAAAATTCACAAAATTCACTGCCGACGTGATCCAAATCCTAACACAATTATTTAACAAACAATATTAAACAAAAAAAATACTAATATCCCATGCCTCGGATAAGAAAGAAATAATTTATCTAAAGGTCCTTTAACAGTCAACGGAAATAATCTACTAGGTATGTAAGAAAGACAGATTTTTTTACTTTATAATCTTAGAACCATTATAGTAAATGTCAAAAGTGATTATCCCAGCTGAGCTGTACTTTGTTTAATGTAAATTCTACTGCTGTTAAATATGAGTTCGGTACTTTCAAAATACTTACTAACACGTAAACACTTTTATTTTATTCATCAACAGCCTATAACAGTCCACTGCTGGACATAGGCCTCTCCTAAGAAAGGAGGTTTTGGCCTACTATTACGTGTTTTAAAATAAATAGGAGAAAATTTATTAATTTTCACACCACGATAATCTCTTCTTCTATCGAACAAAAATCAATAATTTTAACATAAATTTTCAGCTTTTACAGCTTTTGGATCCAGCTCTGCCGTAAAATGGATTTTAGCTAAGATATTTTACTTATCAACTACCTCTCTGCCAAAGAAAAGTTCTAACTCAAAAAAGGACTTTCATATAAACTGAGAGCCCTTATACCTCCCTATTCCGGCCCTGTCACAAAGTTTGTCCTACGCTCACGTGGCCTTTGCTTAAACGTCTCCTTGATAAATTTTAAGTATCTAGTTTTAGAAGCTAAAGTTTTTAGTACAAACTTTTAAGAGTCCACATTCCGTAATCCGGTCCTGTCACAAAATCCGTTCTTAGCTGACGTGTCCCAACTATAAACTTTCCTACCAAGTTTCAGATCTGTAGTTGAATAAAACCACGAACTTTCATATAAACATCGCTTTTATATAATATATTCTATCTAAGAAAAACAAAGTATGTAATCCTAAGATCAACACGCTCTTCAAAATATGTATTGTCAAAAACACTCAAAACAACTTCAATGAAATGTTTTAAAAAATGCTATGGAAGGAAAAATTAGTAATCGATAAATTAGTATCGACTGAAAAACTATATAATGAATGACAATAAAGTAAAATAACAAATTTCCACTACAAAACTTACTTTACGAAGGTCCTGGATCACTTTATATGTAGTAGTTAGTTACTATTAGCATAATTACTAGAGACACTGCTTTAGAAGCTGTCTTGGAGGTTACTACTGTAACTTAGATTAGTAGAGCTCGTGCTACGAAAACAGATTTGTAAATTGTCCTACAAACTGATTTGATGATAATCTCACTTCCTTATTAATTAGTTAAGTGTGAATATATGACTGTTTGATAATGCACAGCTGTGCGTAGATCATGATACACATCACATCACATTAACAGCCTTTGATAGTCCACTGCTGGACATAACCACAATACCACGCTGGTCAGACGGGTCGGTATGGGGTTTGTGTCAAGTTTTCCTTCTCTCTGCAGTGCTGTAGTTTTGCGTAGTTTTTTCCCTTAGTTGGCTGTTACGACACCCACGTGATGAATAAGGGTGGTGACGTTCTATATTCTTAATCCTTCACCACACGGACCTCTTAAACATTTCGTAGTAAATAGTGAAATCCTTTTCGCAAATTTTAAAACTTCAGGTTGCGATACAAACCTATGAAACCTATCAAAATATGTTTTTAGGGTACCATGAGGGGATCTCCGCACTGAAAAAAGTTACCATTCGTCAATAGAAAAAAGGAACCTATATGGGATCACTTCCTTATTCGTCGGTCTGTCTATGTGTCTGTCTGTGAAGACCCTTTTCTCAAGAATGCGTAGAGATATCAACATTAAATTAATACGAGTATCAAATACTATGTCTGCCGTACCTTAAAGTTTGAAAATCAAACTTCTAAGTAAGCACAATCAAAGAAATGACTACGGATACGGTACTATTAGTACTATTGACACGCCCCTATTGACTATTGAAATTTGGCGAGAAGCAAGGTCTCACAGTAAAAGTAAAGATTAAAATGTGACGATCGTTAAACTGAAACATAAATATTGTTTTTTTTTTATAACTTATATTCTAATGATCATTTACTATGACGTATTGTGATCTACGGAAGAGCAAAATTAGGTTGGTCACTCGAAAAGAACTCGCAAGAAAAACGAGCATCAATTTCGAAAATTGATGAATTAGGTATTTGTAGAACATTTCTACGAGTCAGGCTTGCACTTGGTACATTTTTTTTTTTAACTTAGGACACATTATTTTTTTAATTAGACGCACATTTTATCACATAAATATATCTCTTCTCCACTAATGTTCTCACAATTGACACTTATACAGGCCCTTTCTAAAACCAAATTCTAAGAAAAGTTATCGTTCCTATACAACACTTTGCATGTACCCAATTATCTCCACGCAGCTGATGTCTTTTGACACTGCCAAGACATATGCCTTCACAACGTGGGGCGATACGACGCAATATATAACGATATTGGACGAGCGGTAAGAATAGCAATCAGGATGATGGAAACTAGGTATCTGCATTATTGGAACGATGACGTGATGCGAATGCTGAACAATATCGATAATGTTTATCATACATATTTTACATTGTATATTTTTTGTTTTTTTTTGCAGTATTTAGCTTAGTTTTTTAACATCCTTAAATTCATCTTATTTCTTTTACATTTTTATTCAGTATCCTGATTTTGTTTGTAAATGTAACTTCTTGCCTTTTGGTATACAAAACTTTTAAGGGTTGGAAATATCCCCAGTTGATAGTTAGTAGGTAGCTTTTACTATACGATACCCAGTGGAATTGCTGATGAAATTCGAGAGAATCTTCGTTTGTTTTTTTTTGTCTCAAGCTAGCTCAGATTTAATCGGAAAAGTCAACCGACTGGTATTTACAACTGTTAAGGTATATTTTTTATTATTGCAGCTTCCCTTTTAAATTATGTGATCCCGAAAGTTTATTTTGCTTTACAAGTGACCAAAATCTACTACTACTAATAATATTTTAAAACCTATATTTTAAACTAAAATATATAAGGTCATCTAGTTGGCTTGCATAATGAGGTTGTTTTGAGTCTTCCAACATATATACATTTTAAAGTTAAATATCTTAAACACATCCAAAGGAAGTTTGTATACAATATTGTTGCCATGTTTATTTATTCACACACTCAATATTACACGTAACAATTCTTAATATGTCATTTATAATATTGTGGAGATGTTTTTTATCTGCATAGAGTGTTTATTAAATGTTGTGAAAATAAAATATGGGTTTTCAAAATTTCAGACCAAACAGCTCACAATGAGATTAGACTTTCTCCAAAAAAAAAAAAAAAAACATTTAAAGCAAATTTAGAGTTTTTATTTCCATTTTTGATATCTGATGATCAAAGAGTATATATTTTTGCTATTTAGAGGTGAAGTTGAGGGGAAAAAAAATATCGTCGTTTTAAATTATATTACTTTTAATAATTGGAATTGGAAACCCAAATATCTTTACGTAACTTTGAAAGTTCGGCAACTGCATTGTTAAGCTTTATTGGGTGGATGAACAATTTATTAAACTATTCCATATAAAAGGGTGTCTTAAAGCTATTTACAAATTTAATAGCGTCTGCGAGTTTGAAATGATTTGAAATATTTAATTTTGAGTAACGATAGTCAGACAGCTGATAGAAAAATTCAATTTTAAGTGTAAGTAGTAATTGGTGATTTAAAATGTCATTTGTGAAAAAAAGGAGTCACTTCATGTCACACGAGCTAATATGATATATTAGAAAACCAAAATATTACTGATAAGTTATTTTCACACAAATACCCAAATAAAGTTTATTAAAACTTTACTGATCTGTTGGTAAAGTGGGTAGTGCTTTTGACTGTTAAGCCAGAGGTCGTACGTTCAATTCCCATCGTTGACAAATAATCTTGCGATCGGTTTTGAAGCTGGGCTAATTTATCCGTTATATATTTTTATTTAAAAATATATGTTTATGGGAGCTGCCTAATAAGATATCAGATAAGATCTGGTTTCAAAATAGTATAACTCATTTTTAAACAAAAGCAAAATAAAATCCTCAAGATTCGTAAGCAACTTTAATCCTACAGTGTTCTAATTATGCAATATATTTTTGTGTGTAGAAAATTGCATGAGCTACAAATTAGTATTGTTTAGAAATACTATTGATACGTCTAAATTACTTTGTGTGGATAAAAATGGTGCTTCATAATGCTGTGATGATACGATGTTAATTGGAAATAAACTACACTGTTAATTAAAAACTACACAAACATAAACTGTTGATTGGAATTGAAAACATCTAAAGTATTTTTGAACACTAAAAATATGTTTACTTTTAAATTAAGATGATTATTATCAAATAAGTGATAAAAATGAAAATGACATTCCCGCCTTTATATTCCACGGCTAACCTCTTCAACTTTAAACCATATTTTATACAAATCAGCATAATTTGTACATAAAACACACACGTATAAAACATGTTAATCTTTTATTCAGGTAGGAGCTCCGCCTCGTGGCACAGTAATAAGGTATATTTGTCAAAAGCATTGCTTAGCTACAGTACTGTATCTTAATTTACCGTTTCTGAGCTTATACTGAGTGCGAATTATGGCTCGTTCGAAGCACACCTGGGCCTGCCTTGCCTTAATACTGTATAGCCTCACTGTAGACACATAAATAGTTGGAATACAGTTATGAAGTAAATTATATATGCCACTTAGAGTGTTTTTTGAATAAGTAAAAAGCTACGGTACCAGTATTTCTGACGTGTTTAACCAACAAATATAAAATCATAATCTGGGCGGCAATATCTTGGTATCGTTTCCATAATAAGGACAACTATTTTAGGGATTATGAAACCATTATTTTATTAGTTAACGGTTCGCTTTATAGGGCTCGGAATTCAGTTACAATGCTTGAACTTTTCAGCAACAACCACAGTTTGACCTGCTCGACTTATTTACACTCCCCAATCCAACCGTATAAGCTCAATCACTACATCAATCTCCCATTATAGGTGGGCCTATTGGTCTAGTGGTTAGTGACCCTGACTGCTAAACCGGAGGTCGTGGGTTCGCATCCCACCCATGACAAATATTGTGTGATAAGCACGGTCATTTGTTCTGTGTCTGGGTGTAATTTATCTATAATATGTATGTATTTAAAAATACATAATTATGTTTATCAGCAGTCTGGTTACCATAGCACAGGCTCTGCCTAGTTTGGGATCAGACGGCCGTGTGTGAGATGTGTGAGATATATATTATATTATATTGTAAACAAATTTTCAAACCAATGTCCCAGTGTCTGGTTGACGGCAGAGGCTGCGAGCCTATTGTCACCGTATACTGCAAGAGTTGTCTTGTAAACTAAACAAAAAGTAATTTATTCACACACTTCCAAAGACTCAAAGAAATATTTTTTCTTATATTTACATTTGTTCAGCCAATAAATGACTAACTAATGCATTCTGATTGTGACATAATTTACATTGAAATCCCGATGATTGAGTACAAGCTGCGCAAATCGATTTGCATCGGAATAACGGAATTGCAATCGGAAATACCAAATCAATTCGACCAATTTGCCGATGACTCCGGTGCCGAGATAACGAATTCCATTGCTCCTCATCCCTGCTAGGGTTGTTTTGTCTTGTTTTTCGATGTAATTAGTTTGTTTATTTTTGGTCTTTTATTGTATTTGTAAAATTGAATTCATTTTTTAAGGATAAAGAAAATAGTTTAAAAAATATATACATTAATGTACACAAGGAATTTGAATTCTCACCAGTTACTGGCATGTTAACTTAAAAGTTAAAATTTTATATTTCCGACATGCTACCCCATTTATCTTTTATCACTATACTTCCAAGATCTTCAACCCCACGGATTAATTAAGACCTACTATTTAGCCAAGGCCAAAGCCTACTTGGCATAATAGGACTATTCAGTCCTATAAAACTAATATTTCTTAACCCTCATAAAGATTTTATTAATATAAATGTGTTTCTGTTTGTTATAGGCGATCAAGTGCGGGCCTCCTGGCACCGCAGTTGGCGTGTCAAACATCATCACCTGCGACTGCGCCACCGCCTCATCCACCAGCATCGCCACCCCGCGTCGTGTCTGCACCGCCCGCACCCCTCGCCCAACCACCTCCCGACCCCGCACCTCAACCCGCACAAGAAGATGGAGTCAGATTACGGCGTGTACACACGGTTGCAGTCAGAGATTATCTCAAAAGAGAAACGCAAACGTTCTTTGGTGTGCAAAGGGACAATGAGAGGGAGCAACGGAGGTTATGGTATGAAAGACGGAGGAGACACGCAGCGCGGGCGCTTGGGGACCTCCGGCCCGATCTGCCACCGGACCATCATCCTGATGATGATGATATTAGGTAAGATTGAATTATTTAAAAATAAGCAGAAAACTTTATTCTACACTTACTTTGAACGAATTGATTTTATACTGCTAAAAAAATGTGAAAAATAAATAAATTATTTCCTCAAAAAAACATAATATATTTTCAAATCCGTCCGTGTGGTGACGGATTAAGAATACAAATTGTCACCACCACAATTCATCCCGTGGGTGTCGTAAGAGCCGACTAAGGGAGCAAACTAAGCAGGACAACAGCACTGCAAAGAGAAGGAAAACTTGAAACAAACCCTTTTTTTTTTTTTTTTTTTTTTTTTAACGTGTGGAAATCCCCTCGGACCGTCACCCCTCCGGGGTTTGCGGCGGGGTGGTGTGTCGGACTCGGACCGACTAAAACCACACGGTGTGCCACTCTGCGCCTGTAACAGGAGGGATCCGGGAACAGCTGTTGTTAAGACATCCGGACCCCTCCTAGCGCCAGCCCGCTCCTGGTGCGGGCTCCGTCTCAATGTGGATGTTCCTCTCTTTAGGCGACGTCCGGCACACGCGGACGCCGCCCCCTCGCGGCTGGCCAACTAATGCGGGTGGAGGGGAAACCCACCCCGTCCACCCGCGGCCACACTCAGGGCGGCATGAGGCTGTGGTAGGCGGGCCTCCGCCGCCCGGTTCGCCGGCGGCGGATCGGGTCCGAGTGGAGGTCGTCCTCCCGGGCCCTCTCCGCCGCCTCCTTCCGCGAGATTACTACCTCGCAGAAGGTTGCGACCGCGGTAAAACAACTGTCGCTACCGGCCATGGAGCGTACTACGGCCGGTAGCGAGAGATCCACTCCGATGACTGCAGTGAGGGCCCGGCGCTGCGCCGCCCATGCGGGGCAGACCGCCAGCGTGTGCTGGGCCGAGTCCTCACTGCAGTCGCAGTGGTGGCAGGCGGGACTCAGTTCCCTCCTGGCGACCGTGTGCAGGTACTTTCCGAAGCAACCGTGCCCGGAAAGCACCTGCGTCAGTCGGAAGGAAAGGGTCCCGTGCTGCCGCCCTGCCCACTCGGCGATGACCGGCTGGAGAGCCTCCACGGCGGCGAAGCCAGCGCGTGGAGTCTCCAGCCGGAACGACCAACGAGCCATCGTGGCTCGGCGAGCGGCTTCGCGCCACTCGCGCACATCCTCGGGCGGAGGGCGAAATCCGCTCTCCGCCCGGGAGTCAGCCACTCGCCGATAAACTTCGGCGAGCACTTCCGCCTCCAAATCCCACGGGGGAGTTCCGGCCAATGCGCATGCCACCTCCGTCGAAACGGTGCGGTAACCGCGTATGGCTCTGACCGCCATTACCCTCTGAGGGCGCCAGAGGCGTACCCTATTCTGGGCGGTCAGAGCCGCCGCCCACACCGGTGCACCGTACAGTGCCATTGACCGGACAACCCCCGTGTACAGCCGTCTTGTCGCGACGCTGGGTCCACCCATATTGGGCAAGAGTCGCCCTAGGGCAGACGCAGCGCCGACCAGCTTTGGAGCAAGCTGTCGGAAGTGCTCGTCGAAGAGCCACCTCCCGTCGAGGATCAGGCCCAGATATTTCATCTGGGCCCGAACCGGTACGAGGACCGAGTTGACCACGATGGAGGCGCCAGGGGGTGGACCACGACGGGGCCCATGGAATAACAGGGCCTCCGTCTTATCTAGGGCCACCCGTAAGCCCAGCGCCTCAATGCGCCCGACCACCAGGGAGACTCCCCCTGTGGCCAGGCGCGCCGCCTCTTGGAAGTTTGCCCCCCGGGCTGTCACGAGGGTATCGTCTGCGTAACAGATTACACCCAGCCCGGGGGGGAAATCGGCGCGAAGGGCCCAGTCGTACCCTATGTTCCACAAGAGGGGTCCAAGAACAGACCCCTGTGGAACACCGCACGACATGGGCCGACACCTCAGATTACCTTCTCGGTCCTCGTACACGACGGTACGCTCCTCTAAATAGTCTGCCACTAGCCGCCTCAGGTACTTTGGCACCCCATGATAGTGGAGTGCTTCCCTGATGCAGCTGAATGGCAGACTATTGAATGCGTTGGCGATGTCCAATGACACCGCCAACAGCACGCCGCCACAGCTCACGGCCTCTTCGGTCACGGCCCTCAGGCGCAACACGGCGTCGACTGTCGAACGCCCCGCCCGAAAACCAAATTGGGCGTCCGACAGATCGGGGCCCACCTCGCAGAGGTGCCGGACGATGCGGGCAGAAAGAACCCTCTCAAACAATTTGCCCGCCTCGTCCAGCAGCACGATGGGCCTATAGGCCGCGACCGAATCGGCTGGCCGTCCCGGCTTCCTCAATAGGACCAGCTTCCCGCTTTTCCAGCACTCAGGGAAGCGTCCCGACGCCAAGCTAGCGTCGAACACCTCCCCGAGGCGGTCTGCCATGTGGTTGAGGGCCAGGGCCAGCACTCGGGCCGGTACCCTGTCTGGCCCAGGGGCGGTGTTCTTGGAACGGATCCGTAGAACAGCCGCCCCTACCTCCGAATCCCGGACGGGCGGAACATTGTCCTCCCCGTGCTCCCCGTCGTCTCCGGCCAGGGAGGCCATCGACGGGGGAGTGTGTTCCGCTCGTTGTGGGAAAAGGCCCTCAACCACTTCTCGCAGGAAGCTGGGCTGGAGAGTCTCCGTAAGGGGGGGGCCCGACGCGCGGAGCTTTTGTCGCACCGCGCGGTAAGGGCGACCCCAGGGGTCACGATTAAGACCCTCCAGCATCTCCTGTCTTTTTTCCTCTTTGGCGCGGCTAATGGCCAGCTTCAGAGTTTTCCGCGCCCGTCGGTACTCCTCATGAAGCCGGTCCTCCTCACCGTCTCCACGGTGACGCCGCCGACTGCGTGTGTAGGACCTCCGGGCACGTGTACAGGCCGCACGGAGGTCCGCCAGCTCCTGGGACCACCAGTAGACCTCCTTCCTTGGAGGCCGACGACCTCGAATGCGGGGCATGGCCGCATCGCAGATATGCGTAATCGCATCGCGAAAGCGACCAGCCCCCACGTCCACCTCCTCGGTCGGAGCCTGCGGAGACAGCCACGAGTGAATTATGGCTGCCTCCTCTAGTAGGTCCCGGTTTAGTCTGGCAACAGCCCACCGTGGAAAGCGGGATAAACGCCGCGCCACGTGACCCCTACTGGAGTCCTGGGTCCGGGAGAGCTCAAATCGGATATACAGGTGATCCGAGAGCGTCTCAACCTCTTCCAGGACACGCCAGTTCCTTACTCGTGCGGCGAGGGCAGGGGTAGCGAACGAGAGGTCCACTATCGACCCCCCCTGCTGTCGCACGCACGTGTTGGTGGAGCCTCTGTTTAGAAGACAGAGGCCCACCGAGGCCGCCCACTCCTCTACGGCCTCGCCCCTTGCGTCCGTCCTGGGGGAACCCCACGCAATGGACTTTGCGTTGAAGTCCCCCAGCACAAGGACGTGCCCAGACGCTAGTCGCCGTATCGAGGTCTCCAAGCTGGTTAGGAAAACCTCGAAGTCGTTCAAACTCCGGTTGGGGGAGAAATAAACACCATATATGGTGATCCCCCCCCACTCGACGGCAACATATCCAGTGCCCTTGTCTCTTAGCGACAAGGGCGGGGAATGAGCCGTCGTGGAACCGACGACTGCCACGGAGCCGTCCCAGTCACCCATCCAGTTTGGACGGGGAGGGACAGAATAGGGCTCCGCGACTACGGCAACACCTATCGACCACTGTGCCATGGTTTGCAGGAAGAGATCCTGCGCCGCGGCACAGTGGTTCAGGTTCGTCTGGACCAGGAGGTTGGAGACTTGATCCATTACTGGATCGTCTCTACAACCTCCTCCATGGGCGACGACGACGACGCACGTACTACATCAGAGGCAGCCTGGGTCGACTGGCTAGCCCCTGACGTCTGCCGAGAACTGCGGGGAGGCTTGCAGCCTCTCTGCCCCATCTGGTGATTGGCGGGCTTATTGCCCGCCGCACACGCTGGGCAGTGAGGGGCGGCAGAGCATTCTGCCGCCTTATGCCCCGGTTGACCGCAGCGGAAACACAGTCCGCCGCAGTCAAAACAACTGTCGCACTTGACGCGCGTGTGTCCCGCGGCCAGGCATTTAAAACACCTCATCGGTCTCGCCGCCAGGACTGTGATCCTGGCGCTCACGAAACCGATGAGCAGCCTGCCGGCGTCGGCCAATTCTTTGGCCGACGCTACGGGACAGCTGACCCACACGGCGCCAAGCCCTCCTGGACCGGGGCGGATGGTGCCGACCCTGACGTTGTCCGCGCTGCACCCCGTCTTCTCCCGGATTACAGCGCGGACATCTTCGGCCGTCACTGAGTCGTCCAGGCCCGAGATGCGCAGTTCCGCGCACTTGGTAGGCCTGGCGACCCTGACACCATCTGTGGCTGCAAATATTCCCCGCAGCTTCTCAGCGAAGGAGTCCGCCATCTTTGCGCCTTCAGCCCCAGGGAACTCGAGAACTCGAGCTCCCGTCTGGGCGAGGCGCATCCTGACCCCCACCGTCCCAAACTCGTTGGCGAGGCTGTCCCGGGCCCTTTTGAAAACGGCCGCATAGGACAGCCCGCCGTCAGCCGCCTCCGGGGACACGGTCACAACTACAGCCGCGGTTTTGGGCGGCTGCAGCTTCCGCGGCCTCTTTGCAGAGGCCGTTGCCACCGGTGGCGAAGGCTGGGCTTGGGCTGCTTTTTGGGCAGCCTTTCTGGCCCGCCTTCGGGACTTCTTGGAGCCCCTCGCCTCCTGCCAACCCTCGTTGGAGGGGGCAGGTGCGGAGGGGCCCGGCAGGGGTGTCGGAGTGGGGAGCGGAGGGAATGCCACTCCGCTCCTCGGCGTCGTTTTAGGCCCCGTCTTGGCCGGCACTTTGGCCTGCGCCTTGGCCGGCGCCTGGGACGGTGCCTTGGCCGGCGCCTGGGCCGGTGCCTTGGCCCCCCTCCTCGGCTTTTGGGGAGCCGATGGAGTCGGGGCAGACGCCGCCGCCGCGTAGGAGACGCGGCCTCCCACTACGGGGAGCGCGGTCGGAGCGGCGGCCTTAGGCCGCTGTGCCGACGCGAGCGGGGGGCTCACAACCGGCGCAGGGGGCAGTCTCGCCTCCAGCCCCGCCAGGCGTCCGTCCAGCATATTCCCAACTGCGATGAGGATTTCACGCAGTTGGGAGTCAAATGCCCCTGAGTTGGTGGTAGGGGCAGGCTGGGACGCGGACGGGGCTTCCCGCTCGGGGAGGTTCGCCTGGAAGCGGGCGAACTGAGCGCTCAGCTCGTTCACCCGCTCCGTCAGCCTCTCGTTGGCCACCTGCAGGCGAGAGACGTCGCCCGCTAGGCCCTCCACGACCTCCGACAAAGCGGAGGAGGAGTCCTTAAGGGCCCTCACAAACGAGCCCTTAAGGTTCACGGACTTGGTGGCCACCTTGTGAATGACGGCCACCGCCGCTTTCGCCCTCTCCTGCACGGACACGGGAGCCTGGGGGGCATTTCCCCCCACCGGCTCCCGAACCTTGAGCAGGAGATCCGCGATCTCCTCCTCCGCTACGGCCTCGCCGTCCACCCGTACGTTCCTGTACGACTCCGCGTTTGAGAACGCGGAGCCTGACGGGGTCGAGACCGGGGCCGAGGCAGGTTTGCGTGCCCTCCCTCGGCGGCTGCTTGCCACCTTTGGTGGCATCATCTCCTGGGACGTGTCGGTTTCCTCGTCCCTGGAGCGTCCTCGTTTCCGGCTGTCGCTTCGCTCCGCCTCCATGGCGTCAGCGCCATCCGACGAAACGGCGGATCCGGAGCGCAGCCGATCTGATGCTCTTCGGCTCCCAGAGACCAGCGTCAGACTGACTTCTGGGAGCCCCATCGAGATAGGCGTTCCCGACGCTATCTCACCCTCCGTGGATGACCCATCCACTCCACTTTTCCTCTTCTCCTTAGTTTCAGAGTCCGTTTTGCTTGCCTGTTTCTGTTTTTGTGTTGGTTGCCGTTTCTTTATATTTGAGTTAATGGTTTCCATATTAAATCCCACGAGTGGGGGAGAACTAAAGGTCCACCCGGGCAGAGATCCCCCATTACCCGGGCAAGCGTAAGTTTTTAACCCAACCGAGGGGTCCGCAGGTACCTCGGCTTGGAGTGCGCTCGCGACTGAACTTCCCATCAGCCATGCATCCCCTGGCCACGCACCAGAACACGGGATTCGGGGAATTTTTTAGAGAGGTTATCTTCCTCGCGGTCCGGGCGGTTAAGCCAAGACCCTCGCCCCCGATCAGAGCCGCGAGACTTAACCACAGCGCTCTTCTCGGGATTACGATATGCCGACGGTTGACAGGGAGACTACGTCCCCCTGCCTCCTTTCTCCACCGCTGTCAGCGGAGAAACTGTGGCCCCTACAGGGCCCCGCCATCAGGTTTTTTACCGAGGTTTCCTCCTCCATGCTCCGAAGAGCGAAGAGCCAGCAGGGCAACCGGCAGACACGCCCACCCTGCTGGACCAGGCCTTGCCCGAGAGCCGATGAACGGCTGCCTCTTCTGCTAGAATATTGGCCGCTGGCGATAATCCTCTCCTCCAAGAGGACAAGGAGGGAACAGTACCATCGCCAGCGTTTCCAGGGTGCACCACGAGGAGGTTTTCTAGCCCAGCACCCCAAACCCTATACCAACCCGTCTGGCCAGCGTGATATAGTAGGCCAAAACCTCCTTTCTAAGGAGAGGCCTATGTCCAGCAGTGGACTAGTATAGGCTGTTGAAAATATTTTCAAATTATAAGAAAATTATTTATTTATTTTTCCAAATATGGCAATCTTTTTGATATCACCACTGATGAGCCTCTGCCATTCCATCGCCACTGTAAAGACACTGAGTTAGTGTGGCCAATGGCCACTCGATGGCATCTCAATAGCGTGTCAGTGGTATGAAATGTGAACATAAAATAGCAGACTTGGGGCCCAGGTCGTCTGTAAGAAATTGCAGACTGCGATAAGTCCAAGCAATCAAGAGTATTCATCTATCTAACTACTTCTGAAGTACAGTGTATCTGCACTTAAGGAACCGTATTCAGAATTTCTGATGACCACTTACTTAGAAAAAGCCGGTTGATTAGGAAAGGAAAAAAATAGTTTACTCGAGCGACACCACGGGCAAAAGCTTGTTATGAAACAACAATGAAACATAACTGATCTAACAAGGTGTCAAGCAACAAAAACGATGAAATAGATACAAAATTCAATTTCCGCTACTGAAGTTATATGATATTGTTTTACATCAATACTTTTAGAGATGTTTCTACACTCTTGTTCAAAATTGAATAATATTACACGCTATAAATTCGTACTATACTACGAGTATATTGATATAATACAAAGGTTTTGTTTTTCCTAATACACATATCGCGACATCACTATTTCAAGATTGTGGGTACATAAATACATAATTATATCATGTTGATAGTGACTGCTTGACATACCTATATTTAACCTTAATAATTAATCGCAACTGAAAACACTCAATTCAATTTAACAAATTATATTAAGGGGTCTACTACCACTTTCATAAATTAGTCCTGTATCTGTGTTTTCAGCAAATAAAAAATGCATAGTGTGCTTTCTTGTAAGATTTTTTTATAGTTATCGTATGTATGTCTTATTATTGTATCAGTGTTTTGTAATAAAACAAAACTATGGAAGTAAAACACTGAAATGATTTATTTTCATATAAATACACGTCTAAACTCTAATTCATATTGTACAGAACTAGCTGGTGTTTCTTCCTAGCTTTTTATTCTTTTATATTATTTCTTATGCATGACTTTTCAGACTTACTATAACTAAAAAGCACATTACTCAAAAATTGGCGTTAAATCTTTATCATCTATATAGGTGAGTAACGAAGTCAAATTACCAGAACTACTAGGATAGCATAAACATACAGGGGGTGTTCAAGGAAGTAAGTCATGTTGAAATGAGTTGTTTACCCGTCGGGACGTCCGGATTGTGGGAAGCTTGTTAATGTTCTTGTTAATTCCTGTATCCTATAACTTCATAGAACTTTTTGGTTGGTGAGGGTACAACTGTTAAATTCTGATTTGTTTGTTACGCTATTTGATCGAACTTTGAGTAAGTCTAGCCTTGAGACTAAGATCCACACGTACATTTGGTATAGTTTCAACATAATAATAATATAGTGTCAATAATCACGTACTAATGCAGTTTTTTATTACATTTGTAACTTATTGAAACGTACGATTTTTTATTGAACACCAGTAAAATACGAAGATATTTAAATAATTTTGGACACAAAATGACTTTGTAGTGGAACATATTTTACCCGTATTTTTAACCTAAATTCGGATGAAGTCTGTTCTGTGTAAGCATTTTTATTGGTACCGCACACGTTACGGGCACAAAGGAAATTTTAAACTGGTTGTGTTCGTCTATTTGTAGAACCTTAAACGTTTCGATTGTGCTCTCTCTGATTTTTCATTTGTCTTGGTGTTCGTAAAAGGTTGCATGTCTGTAACTTCAGCCCACAAAATTCTTGTCTTTTAAGGTTTTGAATATATTTTAAATCACATTAATAATAATAATTAGTACAAGGTCGATCTACCAGGTCATATAACATCAAAATGTATTTTTTCACGAATGATAATGGTCCATTTCAACTATTTGTTTAATGAATATTGAACGTTCTTGAATGTACCAAACTAACAAATATCTAATACCAAACCAATAGAGTAAAATGGATTACTTTTCACATAAAATGCACTCACAAGAACGAGGAAATATGTGTGTACTCCACAAAGCTATCGCGATAGTTAGAAGCTTAGAATATTTCTCCAGTTTTCCTTATGTCGATGTCGGATATTTATTTGACGTCTTTCATAAGTTACGTCTGCAATGCCAACGCTGGGCTAAAAATTGAATGCGAAATAAATTTCAGACGAAGTATGAAATTTATTTGATACCGCGAAATAACTTTAAAACGTTTTCAATATTCTTAAGAATATTAAATCTTTGTATTACTATTTAACGGATAATATGAAAAAAAGAAATAATACTGTTATCTGTCAAGTTGCAATATTTACTTATTTGATACCAAAGTTATGAAAAGGTAGATTTTCTTTATAGAATCGAAGACCAACAGCTATATACAAGATAAATTATCATCTTTTTCAGTTGCCATTAACCGAATCATAAGTCTTCAATTGTAGAAATACATTATAGTTATAATGTAAGTCAAATGAAACATATTTAAGAAATAAATGTATTACTTGCAGAACTCCTATATGAATAGGAGTGGTGGAGAAACACTCCGCATTGCTGTTATCCACTGTCACCTAAAGGATGACCTTTAGGTGTCAGTGGATAACAGCACTGCAAATAAAAGGGAAAACTTGACACATACCCTATACCAACTCGTCTAGCCAGCGTGCCATAGTAGGCCAAAATCTCTTTTCTAAGGATATGCCTATGTCTAGCAGTGGGCTTTTAAAGGCGATTAATGATGATGACTTGTAGATAAATTATAACATTAATTTTAAGGCCAGTTTCATTGTTTGTTGTTCTCAGTATGTACGGAGCATCGGGCGCGGCGCCTAGAGAGGCTCGGGGGCGAGCGCGTGAGCGGCCCGACGTATTGCCTGCGCCGGCGCCGCTTGAGGAGCCACCGCCGCCTACGCTGCCTCATCTCGGGAAGGACAGCGTGGCGCGGCTTACGCTCACTGGACTGTCTCTTGTTGTTACCGTAAGTAGATATTACTTCTATGACTGAATGGGATGGTATGCACTGTTAAGACGAACTGTGTAATGATTTAATCTGGTACGGATGCGGACGATAATAATATGTTTACTCCACGAATGATTAGTTTTAGGGGTGACTGCACTCAGCCACAAACTGTTGTTGCTTGTTGTGTGTTGTTGGCCAATAAAAGACCACAATCTGTAAATTAATTTAAATTTATTTAGGTCCTCGAACTTTTTAATTCGCACATAAAATATACAAAATATATTGTGATCATGTAACACTTGACGATATTAAAGAAATTGCTTTTTTGTCTCGGTATAATGTTTAAAAAAATTTGGATTCTTAAGTTTCTAATGTGGTAATAATCGAATTCTCTACTAAGTTTATTTATCATTCAATATAAACTAAATATAAAAAGACATTGTGTCTGAAAAAAAAAAACTTACCTAATAATTTAAATTTCGTGCAGTTTGTTTGTTTTTGTGTGTTTGCTTCCTATCTCATTTATGTGTATATTTTTTTATGTATTATATTATATGTATTACAAATAAACGTGTACTTGGAACAAGTTAATTATCGTCTCAAACATGCGATGTCTAATTGTGAACTAAAAGGTCTTTAACGATTACCATAAAGAGCAGTCTTGCGTCCACTCTGTCAATATAGTCAAGAATCAGTGAAACCGGACTCACCAGACCTGACCTGACCTTCAGTCCTTCACTGTCAGAAGTACGAAATGTACTAAGAAGTACATTTCTTCTAGCCTCCTTACTAATATCTATTTATGTTTAAAAACTATATATAGAGAAAAATACTTAAGGTTAGGCTCGTGACTAAGTGGTAACCAAGTAGGAAAATGCAAAGTTAAGCAATCCTAGCCAGGTCAGTCTATGGATGGGTGACCATTTCTTAACACATTGAGACCACCCGTGGCTAGGAGAGCACATTAAGCCGCTGGTCCCGGTTGCCATAAGAACATCTGTAGCAATCGTTATGTAAAAAGTCTGACAACAACAGTCTTTCTACGGAACCTTAACATACTATAGCCTACATGGGATGAAGAGCTCTGAATGATGACAGTCGCTCCACGTAAAAATCGAAGTTCAGTTGTATTGTGGTAGACTTAAAGCCGACTCCAACCTAGTTTGGGAAAAAGGCTCGAAGGATGAAGAAAAATACTTGTGTTCTAAATCATACTGAATTATTAAAGAATAAAATTACTCGATCTCTTTTGACATTACATTGTAGACGTCATTTCATATTAATGTAAGTCATAAATATTGTATGTGACGTTTGACTGGCGGTGGTGATATCGATATTCAGTGCCGTGTGCCGTACAGTAGAATGTATAAAATATATCTCGAAAATATCTAGTTACTTAGTAACACTTTTTAGTACACATGTTGGTATTTTTTCAGTATATCTGACATTAATGGTTTAGGTATAGAGAGATGTAGCCATTGACGAATTTATCTGTCAATAAATGATAGTAATTTAGGTAAAGATTTTTTTACTTTTCTTTTAGATTTGTTATCTGATTGCTAAATGCATACTAGAAATTTAATTGTATAACAAACTTATGACTGTGAGATTTTAACATAAAGACATTTAAGATTAGTTTTATACTGTAATAATGGTCAACAATTATGTAACAGAACTCCAACTTCTTAGTGTCAATCATTATGAGCTATCATAATAATTTTCCTATTTCTATTATATCAGAAAATATGGTTGCCTACTACTACAGACTCAATAACAATAAAATAATGACTTAAAAAAATAGTACAAAGTATGTCTTCCTTCCCTTTCCCCCTTCAGGGATAAAAGCATAAGCGTATGTGTGAGTTAGGAAATGTATCGACCTATTATGGGTTTTAATTTCATATTAAGTATTAATAAATAACAAAAAGCAAAGCTATTTAAAAAAAAATATACACATAAATTCTATACTTCCGGAAATTCTATAGTTCAATAGGGATTAAATAATAAGTAAAGTAAAAAAACTTTATGTAAGTTGCTAAACTTTTTTTGTGGCTTGGAAACCAATGAGCTGGCGTATTACCTAAGGGTACCTAATTGAGTACTGACGGCTATAGACACTTGTAACTCAAGAGAAACAACTGCATTGCCGTTGTAGGGAGGAATGTGAAAAGCTACGATAGCATGGCTTAACACCGGTTTTCTGTGAAGCCGTGGTATGACTTTGGTCCGACCAGCAGTGCTATTCTCTGAGGGGACTAAGTTCGTTTAAAATTCGACACTACAACGCTATCACAGCGTCGAATTTTAAACATTTTATTTGAAGTGCGATGCTGCGGCAGCGCTGTACGCAAGGCTGCTTCTTCAGAGACCAACACTGCTGTACGTGCCGTAGCATGGGAAACCAAAGCCAAGAAATTGCCAATCAGAAAAAAGTTCACATATTTATTGTAATGAAAAATCCTTCAAACTCAAATTAAACTTTACTATACTGCTTCAAACAACATGTAGTTACAATATAGTATATACTATTATGTTCTGAAATAAATTATTACTCAACTCACTCTCCTTACATTTTGTACTGTGTTATTCAATTCGCGAAACGATGATTTTATTTCCTGAGTTGTGGGGTGTTCAATAATATTGGAAACTCGAGTAGGTTGTCACGCACATAACAGCGTACCTTGTTATGATAATAGCCGGTACTGGTGAGAGCGTGACGTGGAGTTTCTAATTCGTAAAATCTATCTAGGTCGTACGTGGCCTGACTTACAACATTGTTTGTAGAGAAATACCCTGAAAACACAAGTACTCCAAATTAGTTAAATAATATTAATGGTATCATGAAAGATAAAGTCTGATTTGTTTCAACGTCTGTTTGTTATGTAGGATAATTTAAAGATTAGTTCAATGGATGTCACTCGTATTAACCCTGACCTATTGGATCTTTTACATTTAACAATCTACCCAAATAAGCAATGTAAGGGATATTCCTCATAACCATAATGTAAACACGTTGTGGGGACTTCCACATACAATACAAAAAAAAAACAGTACCATCATAGTGCCAACAAATCGAACTACGGAGTACAGAGAGTTTTGAGCACAAGTGACAGTTTTCAAGCAACACCAACTTCCTACCATTGCCTTCTATTCCTATTTACTTTTCTTTTCCCTTAACTCCTTATTTTCCTATTCAATGTCTATCCCCCCATTACGTGGCATTTAAGATGAGAAATTACAAAATCCATACTTACATTATTGTTAATGTGAAAGTGAGTTTGTTTGTTGGTTTGTTACGCTTCCACGTCTTAACCACTGAACTTTTTACCGCGATAATTAAAATATAAACAAGCGGGCGTAGCCGCTGGCTAAAGCTAGTGTTAATATAATGTGGGTGCTTTTAATTGTTTCTGCCTGCCACTTCGAATATCTAGGGATGAGTGAAAAATATTAAAGCAAGTTTCCATTTTCCTGTATTGGTATTGATAATTTCCGTTTTTCTTGTTTGTAACATAAATTTACACTATTACAATTTACGTAGAAATGCGCTCGCTTTTTATGGTAATACAAGACGTAATTGGTTGTACAAATATTAGCTAAACTTACAAATACTTGTGCAAATAAGCGGGTACGTGGTTTGTTTAGTAATAAAATGAGTCTAACTCCTCAAATATAAAGAGAGGTCACGTTAAAAGTTGTCTAATTAGGTTAAGCGGGCGTCTCAAATTAAGAAGAATATACTATCCGCCAGTTTCTCTTTGAGCGTAATATTTTGGTAAAAGGAGAAGTTAGAATTACACTCTAGTGTGATTGTGTTGTTTATTAATATAATAATTTCACTTTTTTTTAAAACTACATTTCGCCCTTTGGTATGGTTCCAGTCAATACGTAAGTCGGTTGATTGTGTGGAGCGTTTTAATTATCTCTCTAAGGCTATATATATATATATATATATATATATATATTTATAGCAAATAAACACCCAATACTTGGTAATAGTCGGATTGTCCGTGGAAAAGTCCGTCATTTTGTAAAACCTGCAAAAATAAATATTAATAATCCCAGATTCCCACATCTCATTTTACTTTAATTATGTCTCAACGCTCAGGCGTGACCTAAGTCCGCTCTTAATTTATTTGCTACGTTATAAATATTCTATAAGGATCCCACCTATTATTTAAGATTTCAAAAATTTCGAACAATTCTTGAATTCAATTTAAGTGGCTTCGTTTATCGCTGGGACTTAGAATAATATTTTCATTTTAAATTATACATTCCCTTGTACTACTCTAAGATATTTTCCCACATCAGTGAATCAACGCTCAAACCTTATCAGTAATTTAAAATTTACTCCATTACTCATTAAGTGTAGTGTAAGTACTTCGGCCCTTATAAAACCTCTTACAACACCCTCTTATAATTATAGCTAAAAAAGTACTTAATATTAACTTCATTATACCCACTAATAACTTAGATAGTAATAATTATAATTAAGTTGACTCGCCGATTCCTACTGCGCTGAGTGCTGTGGGTTCGATCCCCACATGGGAACACTTTGTGTGATCCTTAAATATTTTTTCCGAGTCTTTGTTTTCTCTGTGTCCTTTTCATGTATGTTTGTAAAGTCCCCTGTAACACAGGATATATTCCTATTGCGGGAGTTGTCTTTTAAAATGAACTACTCCTTTCATTACAATAAATTATACTTTAATACTTTTTAATAGTGAGCCGAATTTAAAAGGAAAAACATTTGCACTATCCATTATGATCAGATCACATTCTTAGCATAATACCCACCATGCCTATGTTAGCTTTATATGCTAAATTCTTTGAGCAAGAAAATTGCTTAAGGATTCATTAAACCTACTGCTAACAGAAGGGATTACATTTTAAGTAAAGTAATCTTTCAGTCCTTTACTGTATCGACAACTGGGCGATCGTGTCGATAATGATCTACCATCTCGTTGTAAAATATTTTTAAATTTTCTAAAATATTTTCTAAAATATATTTTGTAAAATATTTTTATGTTGTAAAGTTCTTTTGTAGCGCTCCTTGTCGTGTTCGAAGTCGCGATGGATAACATATTTTACATGAATCCTTTAGAATATAATAATATATGAACTAGCGAATTAGACTGCGATATTTCCGTATAATAAATTATAAAAGCGATGTCTTTCGGGTCGACTGTTATGGCGTCGTAAATAATAGCTATAATCGAAGGCTCGCGATCCGCTTGCAATTTTCCCGGAATTAACCAGTTGGACTGCAAACTACTGCTTTCTGCAGGAATTTGGCTGATGTGATAATTCTATTTAATTTATTATTACTAACTTCCGTTGTATGTTTAAAAATTAAGTAAGAACTCGATTTAGTTATGTTATGCACATGTATTACATAGAAATAATAATTATCTATTGTAGTTTATTTGCAGGCCCAACTAAATATTGAACTAAAATAAATCACTATTTCTTAATCCATAAAGTTGAACAAATTATATTATAGGAGACCTCACCGATAAATTTGATTTCAATAACACGTTTTAATCATTAAAATTTTAGCAATGACCGTTACGATTCAGGTAACAAAAAAAGTAAAGTTTTAACGCTAAACATTTGTTTTTAATAACCTAAGTGACTTAAAACAATTATGTTATCAATGAGTTTAAGAACTTTTACACAACACTAGGTAGTTTATAATAATGGAACACTAGATAATTTGACATTTCTGTTGACTTGACCTGAAGAATAATATAATTACTTTATACACGCTACTGCAGTATGTCAAAGTCTCAAAACACCAATTGGTGATAGCTGCTATTAACAACTTTTAAGTTATGGTGCTTGGAAATAGCATTATAAATTTCACAACCGACCACGTGTATCAAAGCTATAATCGTAAATATTATTATGTATATTCTAATGTGCAAGTGGAAATGTAAATGCTTCATTTTTATTTGTAAATAACGTTTATAATCCTAACGATGGTCTTTACTATTTGTATAATGCTACTTTTTAATTTAATTATTATACTGCAGAGACTGCAGACGTGACATGACAGAGACTGATAAGAAAATTTGTCGATGTATCGATATATCTGACATATTAAATTGACACTTGATAGAAGACATATTAATGAACTAGGTTATACTAAGAGAAGTACCTAAATCTTTGTCGTTGACTTTATGAAAAGATATTTTAAATATTATTGAAAGATTTTATTTCTAGCAAATATCAGCCGACATCATTTTCCTAAACGTTGTGAATTTAAGATAAAGTATATTTTTTATCATTTAGTCTTTATTTTATACAATTGACATTTAGATTTTTTTAAACATGACAATCTACTTCAAAACTCCTTAATAAGCCCACTTATAAGTGGAATTTACAGTTACAGTTAATTTTACCGTATAAATAAATGTGATTAATAAGCATTATATACTTCTAAATTGCCAGGGCAACCTTGTCGAAACTGTAAGCAGTTCAAAAGTTACATCATTTGAAATTGCTTGACTTATTAACTGCGTTGATTTTGTAATCATCTATATAAATAAAAACGTTAATTTAGTTGTGTACGTTTTAAAAACTCAAATAGTTCTGCACCGACTTTCGCTTCAAAGATTGTTTTTTTCTATACTGCGCATCCATTTTGTTCCAAGTTTCTCATCATAACCACAATGGGCGACAGCGTGGTTAAAGGTAGTTACTTATAATGTTTATATGTATCACGGAAGCGAATGTCTTAAAGATAGTACAGGTACTAATAAGATTTATGACTCCTATGGAGATATAATATATGCAAAGAAAACTAATTATTGAAATTTGTTTGGCCAATAGAGGTCCTCCTCTTAGGTTAAAGCAGGCTATGAAATAAAGATACTTCTGTATACTATTCAAAAATATGTGACTGATATATTTTCTCTTCTCCAGGCGGTGACGCGACGCTCGCGTCAGTCAATGTCAGCGCAATGGTCGAGATCGTTCCGAGGCAGTGTCACGCCACAGGATGATACCGACGTAGATGACGTGCTTTTCCTGCCGCCAACGTCAGTGATACAGTTACAACATCACGATGAAGGGGATCAGGTTGATGCGACTAAGGGGTATGTAGCACGCATTCGTTGAAGCAAATATTATTGAAATAATTAGTGTTGCCAAAAGGCGTTACACACAGTACGTTATACGTAGTTTTTTTTTAAAACTTTAATGTTAACTGTTATAAATAATTCATTTGACAGAATACTATTATTGAAAAAAAATCTTAAAAATAAATAATCAATGGGAATTCTCAGTACTAGGGTTTAAAGAAGATATAACAATAACTTTATAGTGAATTCACTTCTCGTTTTTCGTTTTCCACTTCAATCGATCACCTATTCATAGGTATTTTATTCTTCATTTTTCATTAAATGTTTTAAGTACATTATGACTTAAGATTTATTATAATGATCAGTTTGTATGTCGCCCTACTAGTACTTGGTTCTTTTTCTTTCTTGTTTTTTTTTCTACGAAAGAACCAATAAAATTACAAATGAATTCATGAATAATAAGAGAATTCATTTGTAATTTATGTAATAGGGCTTATAATAATAACTGTTGTACTGAAGTAAACATATTTACATAGAGAGAAGATGTAACATTTTTTATTATATTTTCTAAAAACGAGAGAAGGTAGCTAAATAAAAAATAACACATATAGCAGGCAATTTTTAAAGAGAACTTAATATAAGAAATTAAATACTCAAAGAGGAAACTTACATACAAAACTTGCGATACACGGTAAATGTTTGGTGGCTTCAAGTTATAAGCTAAGTTTGGCTAATAATCCTGTTCAAGCCAGATACTCTGGTTACGTCACGTAGTCAACTCGACAGCATAATTAACTACAAACTTATTACATGCTTCAACACTGTATTGCTTAGTGCATTTACGTAGTTCTTGCATGTGGTTTATGGCGCTGTAATGTTAACGGAAATATCAAACCCAGTGAATATGTTTTATAAAAACCAGTGATCGATAAAATTAATAATCATAATCTCATGAAACATGAAAAAGTACGAGGATTGCGAATCGGATCAAAGTAATATAAAATTATTGGTTATTAAATATCTATTTCTTAAATTAACAGAGTCGGACACAAAAAAGTAAATACTACAAAAACAGCTCATAAAAAGAGATCACATACCACAGACAGTCGGCAGAATGACATAAAAGACTAGCACGTTGCAGAATTTTAATAAATAGCTTTTCAATACTGAATTCAGTTTAATCAAGTAAGGACGGCGTGCATTGGCAATTTACAGCACCACGGAAGACTCGCTAATGAACCTGTACAAGATGCATTACCTGAAGATTTTCATTCTAATGTTATGAAGTTCGCAATGTAAAAAGCAAATCATAACATCTTAATCTAAAATTTATTTTTTTTAAGTAGAAGACAGTTACATTTTCACTTCAATTTTTCTCACTTCACTCACTTCAGACTTCATTTCACTTTCTACTCTATATTTCGATTCCACGGTTTCTATAATTATGAAAACTTCAACTAACGTTACTTTATTTTGGTGATGATATTGAGAGGAAGCTGACTTAAAGTCTTATTTTTAATATTCTTTTTAATAAATGTAAAGTTAACTTTTGAGTAAATCCAAACCTATCTTCATCAATTAGCGCATAGGTGCACCGTTGATATTGCGATGTAGGTACAATCTGTTTGTTCAAAGTAATTAGAATTATAGAGCTTAGTATGATTTCTTAGAAAATATTAAATAAAACGTTTTCAAAGAACTAAGGTATTTTTAATAAAATATTTTGCGTATATTTTTTAGGGTTTAATTTCGAAGAAAACGCATTTGGAATTTTTTCATGCAGACTTTCTTAATCTTGAATGAGCATTAACTATTTATATTTGTAATTAAGCAAATACGTTTTAAGTTTTAAAATATACCGACGCAAGTATAGCATCTATTTAAAATTAAATGAACTTATATACTACATAACTGCAGAAAAAACCCATTATAAAAATTTAAACATAGTCGTTTATAACTTTTTAGGGAACAAGTAGTCATTAGTCACAAATAAGTTGTTCGTGGTGGCCAAATTTTAAAAGATTACTTTCATAAAACTTGATTTTAAATATAAGATTCAATGTATGTTAGCTATCAGTAAATGGCAACCTTACATTAGATATTATTGAAATCGACGGGCCTGTTGGTCTAGTGGTTAGTGACCCTGACTGCTAAGCCGGAGATCGTGGGTTCGATTCCCACCTAGGTCAAATAATTGTGTGATGAGCATGATGATTTGTTCTGTGTCTCTTCTGTGTGGGTGTAATTTATCTATAATATGTATGTATTTAGAAATATATGAATACGTTTATTAACAGTCTGGTTACCATAGCACAGGCTCTGCCTAGTTTGGAATCAGACGGCCGTATGTGCCTTAATTAATTAACACTATTAATATTTTATTTTATATCTACTAGTAAGTAGGTTATAGGCTTTGCAAAAGAAGAGGTAAAATAAATGATGATATGAGTGCATATAAATTGGTAATCCCATACCATCTAACGGATGGGCTGCTTTATTTCTAACAAAATCGATAAATAGTTTATAATATTAAGTTCATTAATAATGGTTTGTATATGGCCACATTTCATAATGCTTGTGATCATGAGTGGGGCAATCTATTATTACTACGAACTAGAGCAGTTTTTATTCATAACACTATCAAAGGAAAGGGAGTTGCCTCATAAACTTTTGTCATTGTAAAGTTTCATGTATAATGTAATTACTGTTAACAATGCCAGAATGAGGACAGCGTTCCATGAAAAAAAAATAACAATAAATTGTTAAATAAGGTTTGGTGGGCACATAGTATACATAAACTATAATAACCTATAAAATGTAAAGTATAAAGGGTTAATTTATTTTTGTTTAACAGTAAACATGTAATTGGAAACGATTAAATATTATGTGTAGACCCACAAAACATTTTAGCAATTTATTTTATTTCTTTCATTAGGGAAAAGAGCTTACAATAAAGGAATGTGGGTCAAGGATATTATTCACAATAGTCAAACAAAGAAATGTTGAAGTATGTATGTTTTTTTATTTTATCAAAAAGCAATTAAGGTTGTTTAAATTTCACGTAATGTATACAATAAGACATCGTAAATTCAATATTACTTCAATATTAATATTATTACGACGTGCGTCTCCCCGTGTCATTTAGGAACCAAACTATATTTCTTACACTGACAGTAACAACAAAATCCTGAAAATAACGTTTGTTTCTACTATGAAATAAAAAAATAAAACATTTCTGACCGAGTTTACGTCTTATTATTTTAATACTAGCTGAGACCCGCGGTGTTACCAGCGTTTGTTTTCATAACCGCGGGCAACGCCGCGGGGCGAAGCTAATCTAAAAAAAGTAGCCTAAGTTACTCCTTATGTCGTCAGCTATCTGCCAGTGAAAGTCCCGTCGAAATCGGTCCAGCCGTTCCAGAGAGGGTAATCTCTAAATAAAATCAACAAACAGACAGACAGACAGACAAAAATGTTAAAAAATGTTATTTTGGCATATGTACCGTGTAAACATACATACATATGCATTTAGTAAAAAGCCGTCAAACACAGTCAAAAACAGACACTCCAATTTTATTTATTTGTATAGATACGTGTACATAACACGTATATAAGCTGTAAAAGTAATATCTCTAGGTTCATGGAATTGATTACAACAGTGGCACATTATAGTATTTTCTTCACAAAAGTGATATTTGGATTCAATGAAGACGAGGTTTTTATTCTACTACAAAAGCAAACATAACATATCTTATAATTTTGAAAGCTTATCTTTGTTTTGGCGCTCTGGCATTGAAGAAAGTGTTCTCGTTTCTTTCATTCTTCGATAAAGATATCAAATATTTGTCTATTACGGCATATTTTTATTGCAACAGCATTTCATTCCTAGAGAGGAATTACCTGAGATCAGAATAACATTTAATACATTTCTCTTAATTGACCGGCAAAGGTTTTGAAACTCTTTTCATAATAACAATAATGTTGCACCGAATAGAACATTTTCTTTAAAGAGATTTATAATTTATAAACTGAAATCTATTACCAAGTATTTAGCAATCATTTCATGAACTCGGTGTAGACCTGTACACCTACTAGTATATATATGTACTTACATATTTATCGCCTATATTTACAAGTGTAGTGAAATTGTCTTTCTTATTTTGTCGATATTAGCATGTGACGTATCTCCTTAACTTTTCTGAGCATATGATCTATGGTTTCCAGGGCGCGATCACCTTTGGGTTCCAATAGCGTGGAGTATAGAAGGCCAGAACGAAGCGTGTCCTGGGGTGCGGGGGGAGCGCGCATCCATACACCAATGTTAGAACCTCTGGCAGACAACTCTAATCGAAGGCAGTTCGGCATGGGCGTTGTTGGCAGATTTTTTAGGTAAGAGAATAGAAGCTTTATTAACTTTTCTCACTCTTTTTTTCCTAAATGTGTCAAACGGCTTTTGAATTACACATTATATGTAAAATGTATGATTTTAAACTTGATCATAAAATTAAAACAAGAAAACGTAGACTAAAATTAGAGTAGTAGTAGTATTAGAGTTGCTAACTAGTATCAGTAGTCACTAGTCACTAGTATCCTGCTAGTATCAGGGATAGCCTGATGTTATAAAAATCATTACAAAGAGAGAGTATCCAATAAAACTGCGAGAATTGCAGCCATTTTAAAATGAATTTAATGGTAAGATCCCAACATGAGTGACCTTAACACCATTTCAGTTAGTTGTACAATATAAAGGCTTTTATTTACTTGTAAACTGTCAAAGTATATGCTGAGCTAGTAGCAAACGAGTACGGCTATGTGGGTCAAAGGCAGTAAAAACAGCCGTCATAATAAAGTTTACTGCGTGGCCTAGAACCACCATTATGTTATAATTTAGTTTGAGGGGAGTATTTAGTAAAGATTGTGTAATTATACTTTGAGGGACTTTAGGAAATTGATTCAAATTTTGTTGAGTGGAAGCCTGACTTTTCGACTATTTTATGAGCGAAATAATAACGGTAAAATCATGATGGAGCTAGCACTCTGTATATAATTTAAAGCCGAGATAAGTGTATAATCTTTGTTAGCTGCAAACAGCTACCAACACAAATATTGTAACACAAATGTTTTTACATTTGCTATTTTCATGAAAATATATTTTTAACTTTAGTTAGCTTATTGACAAATTACGTACTTGAATTTTTATTGATCACCAAATAGAAAGCATTGGGTGTCTGTAGTACAAATTTCGGAAATGTCTTCTAGGTCTTTGATGTAAAAGTAAGAATAGTAAGAATGTTACACAATAATATGTATCTTAATTCGATTTTCTATATGATTGTTTTTTACATATTGTAAGGTTGGTTTAACACTCTGTACATAAGGCTTGTCCTTTGAAAAGAAGCGTCAAAGTTAACCTTCTAGGAATCTTTGGGATAGATGATTTGATGGATTTACAGTCAGCGGACAGATAAATAGAAAATATAAATAGAATCTTTGATATAATTTACGCAACATAGACGTTGTAGTAATACGTTATATACGGCAAGTTTATGTGACATGATAATGATGCAATTTGTTAAAATATCCTTTTAAAAAAGGTTACTATAGTATATTTGTTTTTTTTTCACCAAATGCAAAAAAAAAAACAGGAAATTAAGAAGAGGAGTAACGAGACTATGATTTAAAAAACAAATATATTGTTCAGTGCATAATTAAACATGTCTAAAGCAACAAGAAAAAAATAAAAACAGTAATGAACTTATACGTTATCGTATCCGTGAATTAAGCATATTCATCTGGATTAGGTTCCTGCTTGGCCAGTTTTATTATAACTTGTAAAAGAATCCGGGTATACCTTAAAAAGAAAACCAAAAGATACCAAGTTAAGCAGTGTCTGGGATAGCACAACCGCCATCCTTATTAGTTCAGTCGATGGGTGACTATCAAGTATGGATAATACGATGCTGATGCCAATGTCAACACGAAAGGCGTTGGCATAATAACGCTGGATCCTACAAGTAGACATGCTGTAGGATAGAACAATTATTATGAAATACCAACTGGTTTCTAATATTAAAATATGTGTATTAGCACATTCCTTTTTCTTGTAAATCCAATTTCTCTCTAATAAAATTAATAAAATGTCGTCTAACACGAATCGCTTTCCATTCCTCGGTATATGTTTGTAGTCTATCGTTGTTACCAATTATATTATCATTTTAATAACGAGGGAGCTTTTACAATATAAGAAATATTTTAATAGTTTTTTTAATATCTAAATATTCTGAAAAATGTAAAAAAAAAATAACATAATGAAAAAAGTTTCATCAATTATTAAGAAACGCACATTCAATTAATACCATGACTTTTCTTGCAGGCGTTCTCTACGAAAATCAGTGACGCATCAAGATGAGGTGGCTCGACAGTTGGATGAGTTGACAGACTACCGACCGTACTTCACGTGGTGGGTCAGCACGGTGCAAACGTTGGTACTACTGTTATCTCTTCTGTGCTATGGCTTTGGACCAGTGGGGTTTGGCAGACACACGCACTCTGGCCAAGTTTTAGTGAAGAGTTTGAGTTTACAGCAGGTAGGTTTTACTTTCTACAGATCCCATTCACTGTAAAATTTTGAGAGCTTCCATTTCATAAAATAGATCTGCTACATGACTGTCATCATGATGTTGCAAGTTTCTTCATCTATAGAGTATCGAAAGTTTTTCTTACACTTGTACACCACATGGAATAATAAAGCAGCATTTATTACTCGCACATTACTACTCCTGTAAAAGATGAAAAGTCTCGTTTTTATTTCACTGACGGTAAATGAATCACAATTTCCAGAAGATTTCGTAGCGATCACCTACTTTATTCACACTTGAATAGGTAATTTTATGAAGCGTCTCATGAAAACTGTAAAAAAACTGTGTCAATGTTCAAAATGGTGAAATGTGTATAACTTCAATGATTTTTACGGTTTTATTATGGACCAAAGTGATTTATAAGTTTACACATATGTGAAGATAGTTACAGTTTTTATATTTATTGAAACTTTATGGCCTTTTGAAGTTTTAAGAAACCTTCTACTTATCGACTGTTGTATAAATACTAAAGTAAATAAATACTCTACGTTTTAACGTAGGTATGTAATTATCGGAGCTTGACACAAACAAGTTTCTATAAAGGACGGACATGTTGGTCTAATGGTTAGTGACCCTGACTGCTGAGCCGAAGACCGTGGGTTCGATTCTCACCCAGAACAAATATTGTGTGATGAGCACGGTCATTTATTCTCTATCTAGTACACAGTACAGTACATTTGCCAATATGTACGTATTCAGAAATTTATAAGTATGATTATCAGCAGTCTGGTTACCACCGTTTGGAGACCCCCTCTGGCGATTTGCGACCGGTTGATGTGTTGGAATCGGACCGACTAAAACCAAACGGTGTGCCACTCTGAGCCTGAAATAGGAGGAATCCGGGAACTGCTATTATTAAGACATCCGGACCTCCAGTAGCGCCTGCCCGCAAAGGGCGGGTACCACAACATACGGCAAACGCGGACGTCGCCACCTCGTGGCTGGCCACTAGAGCGGATGGAGGGGAAATCCCATCCCAGAGCGGCATAAGGCTCTGGTAAGTGCGCCTCCGCCGCCTGGCGCCGAGGGAGGGGCGGGGTCCATGGAATAACATGGCCTCCGTCTTATCTAGGGCCACCCGTAAGCCCAGTGCCTCAATGCGCCCGTCCACCAGAGAGACTGGTTACCATAGTTACTATGTTACATATATAAATTAGGCAGAGCATGTACAGTACATGCTCTGCCTAATTTATACTAAATAAACAAGTAACAATGTCTAAAATGATTCATAATAAAGCACTAGCCTGGTGGCCAGTATATATAATTTTACAATCTAGGTATTACTTTATTACTCACATTCGGAAACCACTTCACATTTTAAACACCTGCAATTTTTAATAGACACGGATTTGTATTAACACAAAACCTTTAAATGTTTGCTCATAAAGTTGCTGATTCTTACATAATTATCCATATAACCTTATATGTTATGTATAACAGTGCTCTTTGGACAACTGCATTGGTACAGCGCGACAACCTGAAAGTCTGCCTAGGCCAGAATAGTTTCGATATGACAATCCAACTAATGTTTTTTAAGCTAAGAAGTTGCACACGTAGGAACAAGCGGGTGTTGAAAATGCATCGATTTAAACAACTAGAGAAGCAAACCTCATTATCACACGTCGAAAAAAGTGTAACCAGTATTGAACTGTGACGACGTAGCTTAAAAACCATAATACATTTGAAAGTTAACATACATATGTCTCACAAACAGACAGACAGACAAAAATTGAAAAAAATGTTATTTTGGCATATGTACCGTGTAAACATACATATTCATTTAGTAAAAAGCGGTTATTTTAATATTAAAAACAGACACTCCAATTTTATTTATTTGTATAGAAGACAAACATATAAACATGCGATGGTGGGCCTGTGTTGACTACCATTTGAAATCTTACCCATAATAATATTTCATGTAACAATTTTCGTATTTTTTTCATTTTTATAACCGAATAAATTTTGTGATTAAAAAATAAATTAAAATTTTTCAAAAATGTTTATCGAGTGGAATAGGCATGACTAATAAATTAATTAAACAGGTTTTCTTTGAATAATTATTATTGTATATTCTATGAAGCATCAGTTATGTACCTATACAAATTGTCTTGTTGACTCTTTCTTGTAAGTTTAAGTGAATAATTTACTTTCATGATACCATCTCATTTTTAAATATGTATAAATAAATAATGCCAGTACTTAATAAAGGGGTATAAATAAATAAAGCCAATACTTAATAAAGTAATAAACTTGCATTGATGATAAAACAATCCTCAAGGATTCTTATTTTTAATGTTATTTGCATTCGAATAATTGAAACCCATTTCTTAGACACGGCGTGCGGCTAGATATACTGTAAAACTATATTTAGACAAATAAATAAGAAAATACATTATTTTAATTATTTTTTATGAAAGTTTCTAGTGCTGTGAGCTTGGATCTAGGTGAACGCTGGTCCCTAAAAAAGGAGATCGGTCCCAATCTTATCAGCTACTAGTCCTACTTTAATTTATTATTATTGCCAAAATGTTTAAAAAAACAGAGAACAAAGATTTTTGTTTTCAAAAATTACAAATTCTCCCACTAACGATGGATAACTAAAACGATTTTTAGTTGTAACACTCTATATAAATTACAATAATCTATTTTTAATTTCGATTATGCCTTTATTTACGTCAATATCAATACATAAACAATATATTTACGTGTGAAAAGTAATTCTGCTTGATTTATTATAGTTTTGTGACCTTGAATCGCTATCACTACGCATTTACCCTTTGTGGAGATTGTTATTGTCACGTGTCCCTATGTTTAACTTGATCGGCGCCACATTGAACTGACGTTTGCTGCGTATATGGCTGTGGAAAGATGTGCAGTGGCATCGCTTTTGGGCCGTAATTACTAATCTAGTGTAATATAGATCAATGTGAAAATGGGACTGATCCCTGCTACACTCCCACTATTGTAACTTTTGTTCACGGATCAACAGCATTGACCTACGAACACACCGAATTATGACATTGGGAAGTCCTAAGAAACGTTAACGTAAATGGGAGGAGTTAATTAAAAACCAGTTATCTTCTTAGCAAATATACAATAAGCAATAGCAATAGACAAAAATAAAGTAAAAAATAGGCATACACTCAATTTAACAGGGAAGCACGGGCACAGAAACATTACCACTCCTAAGTGAGCTATATTTGATTCTTTTAAAATATATGGCAGAATCATCCAAACGCATAGAAATTCAGTCTATCTGACATAAAATCCTCATAGTATATGCCACCTGTAAGCTGTTTATTATAATATTACGCTGCTTGTACCAAAGACAGAATGTAAATTTCCAGAAGTTATGATAAGCAGACTGTTCATAGTTATCACTATCTTAATCTAGCAAATTTACGTATACGGCTTTGATAAGCTTTTATCTCAGCTCGCTGGCCCTGACCTACTTTATAAAAAGTTTACCACATTCAAACCAAGACTTAATTAAACTTCAATAAAGTCATTGCGACACGCACATTACTTTATGGAATAAAATAAAAGGAACTTCTCCTCAGAACTCTTTTCTAAACGTGTAATCGATGCAACAATAATAGTAATAACTTTTCACATCTCACACACGACAGTCTGATCCCAAACTAGGCAGAGCCTCTGCAATGGTAAACAGACTGCTAATAAACGTACTTAAATATTTCTAAATAAAATACATGGTAAAGATAAATTAAATCCCAGACACAGAACAAATGGTCGTTCTCATCACACAATTATTTGTTCGGAATCGAACCTACTACCTTCGGCTTAACATTTATAAGGACTCACCTTTAGAATAACAAGCCCGTCAACTTTAAATGTTTTTGCTGTACAGCAATATATTCTGAAATAGAAAAACCACAAGGGTCTGAGAGTGTTCAGGAAGAGAACTAGAAATTATTTCCTACCAACAATTTATATGAATATTATATGTGAACACTACGACTATATGTATATCTTTATATATATAATTCTTCTGTGAGTGTGTATGTCACTGAACTTCTCTCAAACGACTGGACCGATTTTGATGAATTTTTTTTGTGTGTGTTCAAGGGGATCTGGGAATGGTTTAGATTCACAATTTTGAATGGTAAGGGTGACCCATCCCTAATTTTTTTTTTGTTGCAATACAACGTTTGCCGGATCAGCTAGTTTATATATAAGTATTGTATTCGTTAACACATAAATATTACGTACTTTGATTTTTAAATTATTTTAATTCTGCTATCCACTATGCACTTCCTATTGGGTGTGAACACAAGAAAGTAGAGAGGCGTTCGATGGAAGAGAAGTAAGGCTTGGGTCAAGGCTTTGTACATACCAACTTCTTGTTCTTAAGATAATGTAATCCATTGTCTACAATACTACTAACATTGTCAACATCAGGATAAATCAGCAGTATTTTATATGCTCTATACATATGTGTATGTTCATAAAGTTTATGTGTGGAGAAGCTTCAACATATAAATATGTATGTGTTTATGAACGTTTTCCCTTATAAGGCTCGTCATCTACCAAATTTCGTTTCTTTATAGAAGACTTAGCATAACAAGGTTATATGAGGCAAAGCTTTTAGACAAAACACGTTTGTCGGAGATTTAATGCTTGTGCTCGACAATACACGTTATTTACTCGAGGGATATAGTTGCGGTTTTATTTACTCAAGTTTTCGTTTCTGATTTAGTTATTTTAATACGTTCTAGAAGATTCGAACTTAAGTTGTGCTCTTGATCTCATTTAGAAGTTTATGGTTTCATTCTATTTTTTAGTGATCGTTGTATTTGTAAATTTTCATTATAATAAAAAAAATCACTCAAAAAGGTAATAATCTTCATAGCTAGATGTTCTCTTATCATGATTTTAAATGCGTAGTTACTTGCATACATGATAACATGATAGAATTGTTCACATTTCTAGGGTAGATGTTTCATGGGTAGATTTTTAGTAGTTAATATTGGCACTGCTTTATATGAAGTAACTCAAAGATGAGCAAAAAGAATATTTTTACAGTTGTTGTTGTTACAATTTTATTTTGTTTATTCTCAATATCAGCGAAATCAATTTTTATAAATAGCTAAGTTATTAGCGAGATGGATAAAAATTACTTCTTTCACCTGTTGCCAGATATGGATAAAATAATCAAAAGCTCATAACTTAGACATAAAAGAATTACCTGCTTTTCTTACATATATTTTTTTCTCAAATTATTACACGTGAGTATTTTTATACTCCTCAATTTAAACAATTAGTAAGTACCAAGCCACAAAGGGTGTACATTCATTGTGTCACAAGGGAAAAGCGACACAAAGTGAGAGTATTAGTGAGCGAGCTCCAAATTTAGGTCACACAGGCTTTGTGTGCGCCCCTTTTGTCTGCTTTTTGCTGCTTAGCGCGGTCTTTCACGATGCTATCTTTTAGCAAATGACCGCAAAAGATCTCGCTATATAAGTTAAGCGAGGTTAGTCACCTTTTGTTTTTAAGTTCGCAAATATATTTGGATAGATTCAAATATCCCAATTGATTAATTAAGTATAGATCTAGTAATACATATTAAGTACCATATACATCCACTAGCTGACCCGCGCAACTTCGTCTGCGTCTCTCAATAGTAATAAATTTTCTCCGTTTTTGAAACATTCTTCATTGGTGCTCCGCTCCTATTGGTCTTAGCGTGATGATATATAGCCTATAGCCTTCCTCGATAAATGGGCTAACTAACACTGAAAGAATTTTTCAAATCGGACCAGTAGTTCCTGAGATTAGCGCGTTCAAACAAACAAACAAACAAACAAACAAACAAACTCTTCAGCTTTATAATATTAGTATATTACTTGCATACATGATAACATGATAGAATTGTTCACATTTCTAGGGTAGATGTTTCATGGGTAGATTTTTAGTAGTTAATATTGGCACTGCTTTATATGAAGTAACTCAAAGATGAGCAAAAAGAATATTTTTACAGTTGTTGTTGTTACAATTTTATTTTGTTTATTCTCAATATCAGCGAAATCAATTTTTATAAATAGCTAAGTTATTAGCGAGATGGATAAAAATTACTTCTTTCACCTGTTGCCAGATATGGATAAAATAATCAAAAGCTCATAACTTAGACATAAAAGAATTACCTGCTTTTCTTACATATATTTTTTTCTCAAATTATTACACGTGAGTATTTTTATACTCCTCAATTTAAACAATTAGTAAGTACCAAGCCACAAAGGGTGTACATTCATTGTGTCACAAGGGAAAAGCGACACAAAGTGAGAGTATTAGTGAGCGAGCTCCAAATTTAGGTCACACAGGCTTTGTGTGCGCCCCTTTTGTCTGCTTTTTGCTGCTTAGCGCGGTCTTTCACGATGCTATCTTTTAGCAAATGACCGCAAAAGATCTCGCTATATAAGTTAAGCGAGGTTAGTCACCTTTTGTTTTTAAGTTCGCAAATATATTTGGATAGATTCAAATATCCCAATTGATTAATTAAGTATAGATCTAGTAATACATATTAAGTACCATATACATCCACTAGCTGACCCGCGCAACTTCGTCTGCGTCTCTCAATAGTAATAAATTTTCTCCGTTTTTGAAACATTCTTCATTGGTGCTCCGCTCCTATTGGTCTTAGCGTGATGATATATAGCCTATAGCCTTCCTCGATAAATGGGCTAACTAACACTGAAAGAATTTTTCAAATCGGAGCAGTAGTTCCTGAGATTAGCGCGTTCAAACAAACAAACAAACAAACAAACAAACAAACTCTTCAGCTTTATAATATTAGTATAGATATATAAATCCTACCGAATGAATAGGCAGAGGTGTTACTATAATAATACCTACCTACCTATGATCAGTAAAAGAGTAAACAAATTGCGTGGTATTACCAATTAATAATACGTACACTGCAGGATTATGTCTTTTCCCTTCTAGGTGAGAACTTGATTGGCTATCGACTATCTCAGGTATTATAAGATAAATAAGCATGCCAAATAAGCATGGTCTGCCACTGGTTAAAAATTATTTTATTTTTATTACTTAAATTAAAATTGAATGCAAAGGATAAACACTTGAAGTGTTTAAAACGAGTGTCCGATTTTTAAGAACACCTGTTTAACAGTTTTAGATGTAACATTTTATTTTATGCTGCAGAACATTTGCTGTCAATGTGAAGTAACGATAAAAAAGATAACAGTCAGTGAGGTTTCAAGATTAAGAAAGAACTTCAATATTTAGGTGCAAACCACGCTAAAACCCTTAGATCTTCAAGCAACCTACTTCTTCCCTGTCCCACTATATTTTTCATAAAATCGCATTTTAAATTACTGTGCATCTACCATGTTTTATCTCTGCATCGCCTTAAGGTTGACTGGGAGAAGATGCCTACGGCATTTGTGCATAAAGTATACATAAATAAACAACTCAAATTTAACAATGCTAATTATGCTAATTATTTTTTGTTTTTGATTTCAGGTTGAATGGGAAGAACCCGCCTCGTTCTGGCTGGGCCCTAGAGCGGCGGACCTAATACATTTAGGAGCTAAGTTTGCACCATGCATGAGAAGAGACGCTAGAATAGCAAGGGCGATAGCAGCGTCAGCAAGGAGGGAAAGGGATACAGCATGCTGCATACGAAATGATGATTCTGGGTGTGTGCAGTCGTCTAAGGCTGATTGTTCGGTGAGTACAAGTTAAAACAGTCTCATTCTTTGACATTCTAAAATTGAAACCCAATGATACTAAAACTTTGTTCATGGTTTTTAAATATATATTTTTTTTTAAATTTGCGCACGCTACCGTAGATAAGAGGATTAATATCAAAGGTAAGATCAACTTAATTATCTTTTTATAAATAGCTGACGATACCGATGTAGACTGTACCGTATGTAAATAGCAAATATGTAATGAAAATTATTTAAACAAAACTGTACTCAAAAACAATTAGTAAAGTCACGCATAACTAACATTTTTTATTCTAGTAACTTTTTATATTGTAGATAATTAAATATTATGTATATATTTCAGAACACAATATCGACATGGAAAAAGTGGTCATCGGGCGAGTCTGGTCCTGGAGGTCGGATATCGGGCTCCGTTTGTGGTTTAGATCCAAAGTTAGTAGAAATTTATTTAAACCAAACTACTAATTAATGAAAATTAACAAGTCTATAAATATATGTGATGATGATGATGGTGAAGTCTATAAATAAATTTTTGAAAATGTGTACCTACCTTAACTCTTGTGTTCACTGACATGACAGTCTGTTAAGTAATCCTTTTATGACTACTCAATATTTTTTTTTAGATTTTGTGAAGCTCCAAGATCGATAGCACCACACGAGTGGCCTGATGATATAACCAAATGGCCAATATGTCGAAAATCAGTTCTCGATGGGTCAGCTGCTGCGGGTCGAGCAGGTCATGCAGCAGAACATATGGCCTGTGAAGTCATAGGCCATCCCTGCTGTATAGGAGTTCACGGACAGTGTGTTATAACAACCAGGGAACACTGCGATTTTGTAAAGGGGTATTTCCACGAAGAAGCATCGCTGTGTTCACAAGTGAGTTATTAAAGTTATATTGGCTGAAGTTTCCGAATACTCTAATCTAAAACTAATCTTTAATGAAAGAACCCAAAAGCTTCCTTCTCATCGTAAAAGGACCCGGGTTCCTTAACGTAGAGTCTTAGTACTAATATCTTTTCGAGAATCAATGCGTTTAAGTTATTTAAGACTAAAGTATGTGTTACAACCTGTTGACAAAATATTGTAGTAGTCTGATTTGCATCTAGTGTTTGTTTTACAACATCATAAATTTCACGGTAATGTTATTATAATATACGGTTTATACTTAGGTTACATATAATTCAAATGTGCAATACTCAGTAAAGGGTCAGTTTAGAAAATCTCTATAACTAAGAAATGATTTTAAACAGTCGTTAGATGCACTACGGTACTTTCATACATACGTCCATAATTTTCATTTGCTTACTACGTATTGTGAAATTTCAGGTTTCCTGCCTTGATGATGTTTGCGGCATGTTACCATTTATGCGTCGACGACGTCCAGATCAGCTCTATCGAGCATGGACATCGCTATTCGTCCACGCCGGGCTCCTCCACCTAGCAGCTTCCTTAGCTTTGCAATGGCTCTTTATGAGAGACTTGGAAAAAATGGCTGGTCCAGTCAGAATAGCTGTAATTTACTTAGGAAGTGGGGTGGCTGGCAATATGGCATCAGCAATATTTGAGCCCTATCGAGCGGAGGTATGTCCTTAATGTGATGATAGGTTTATTAATCAATAATAATCCATTTTAAGATTTCATTTATTAGATATACCAACATACATATATTTATGTACGTACAAGTATATTCAATAAGTGATCAAGTTCTTGCAGATAGCGTAAGAATATCATGACAGTTCTTAATTGATTGATACAGTTTTTCAGTTTAAAAATATTTAAATGCAATTGATTTCAAGTCACTTTTGTTATCAATGCAATATGACAGGGATATAGCATATTTTTGAGTGGTTATCAAGAAGCATTTGTAATTAATCTTTGTTTGGTTACAGGTGGGACCCGCTGGATCACATTTTGGACTTCTCGCGTGTCTAATAGTAGAAGTGATAGGAGCGTGGCCTCTTTTAAGGCATCCAAAGCGTGCTATCTTGAAACTGGTTGGTATAGCAGTGGCGTTATTCCTCCTGGGTCTTCTACCTTGGATCGATAACTTTGCTCACGTTTTCGGCTTCGTGTTCGGTTTTCTTCTGGCGTACGCATTGCTACCGTTCATAACGTTCGGACCGTACGATAGGAGGAGAAAAATCGCGTTAGTATGGGTATGCATGGTATCGGCGGCGGGGATGCTGTGTGCGTTGGTGGCGTTATTTTATGCAGCACCGGCGTACGAGTGTGCGGCGTGCGCTTACTTCACATGCCTGCCGTTCGCTCCCGACATGTGCGAGTCGCAGGATGTGCGAGTGCGCCAGCTGGACGGAGTATGACGGCGCGCGGCCCGGGCGCCCCCGCCGCCGCCGCCCCCCTGCCCCGCGCCGTGCCCGGCGGGAGCCGCGCAGTTGCGCTGCGTTGCGTTGTCCCGCCGCGCCGCCCGCGCCTAGCCTGCGCCGCCCGAGCCTGCGTCGCCGCGTCGCCGTCGCCCACATTACCTTACAGCATCACCTCGCTACTACCCTAACACGTGTACGGGACCTCAATTTATTTCACACTCTGCATATCTATTATTTCATCACCTTATACTAATTAGTTATACTAATATTAATTGTTGCTGTTGAGTATGACTTAAGTGATTTTAAATATGTAAAACTTTGTTACTCACCAACCTCAATTTATAATATAAAGTAATGTAAGTTGAGATTCTGTATACGGTGTACTGTGTCGCTACTGCCCTTTGATTGAACGTGTCGTTAGGAGAGTGCGCTCTAGTTACCTAGGCGATCTTTAAGATTTTATATTCGTCGAACTAGACTATTATAAAGTGTATGCGAAAATTTCATCGATTACTTTATTTATCGATAGAGACGTATTGCTGTGCGTTAAGGTTTGTTGGTATGTTGTTTTGTGGACTATGGTTTGTCTCTGAATTTCGTACATATGAGATCGAATTTATTTTACGGGCATTTCTTAACTCTGTTATTCGAAAACGTAATGTGTTAAGTTTGATTTTGATGGTTGGCGTTGCTTGGTCATAAAATAAATTCGATTCTATAAAATTTAATAATAAAAATAATTGTGCTAAATCCACGAATACAGAACTGTTGCGGACGCGACTTGCTATTGTAAATATTCTGTAAAATAAATTAAATTACTGAAGTAAGTCCTGTTACTTGTGATTTATTTGTAATTTTTCATTTTACGCGTATCGCGTTACGTCATAATTTTCTCTAAGTACGGAATTTATAAAAGGTTCATTGTTAAAAAATACATTTCAAGCATACGTTATTAAAACAATAGATTACAATTAGCTTTTCTTTTATACTTGAGGTGAGACGTAACGTGGTTGCGTAATAGTGTCAAATATACATAATTTAGTATATTACTAAATAATGTAAATATTAATATTATTAAAAAAACACATTTTTCATCTGTTTAGTTATCAGTATTTGAACGAGTTCAAAATACCTAATGTGCAAGTATATAATCACTTAAAAAAAAAATTTCGTTAATTTTTGTAACAGTATCTAGTTTTCATAGCAATATATTTATTTTTATAATATACGCTAGTTGTTATATATACCTACACTTACATTTAAGCATATTTATTTTACTACAGTCAGGTTATGAAAAAATATTGTTCGCTGTCATTAATATTTTACATCTTTTATTACGAATTTATATTTAATACTAGTCACTATGTTAATATTAATATTTTCAGTTTTAAACGATGATGTAAATATATAAAATTAACTGAGCAAGTGGTGATCTTTGTAATTTAACAGTGATTTTGTTAAGGATTGATAATCGAGAGTTTGTATGTGTGTGAAGGTTTTGTACAGTCACAGAAATGTTGTAGATATTTAAATGATCGATATTATGTTTGCCTTTCAAATTTTCAATTGCGCACAAGATTTACTTCTATGAATGATATCATTTGGTCCCATTTGAGTGCCTCATTAATTGTATTTGACCTAATAATACAATGTTGAAGTGTTTGCCTTCCTCTTCGTTATTACTTTGTTTATCAAATTTAAGAGATTCAGCTATCCGTGTGGTGACGGATTAAGAATACGGAGTGTCATCACCCCTATTCATCCCGTGGGTGTCGTAAGAGCCGACTAAGGGAGCAAACTATGCAGGTCAACAGCACTGCAAAGAGAAGGAAAACTTGACACAAACCCTATACCAACCCGTCTGGCCAGCGTGGTGTAGTAGGCCAAAATCTCCTTTCTAAGGAGAGGCCTATGTCCAGTATTGGACTATTTAAGGCTGTTGATCCACCCATTGTTACACATTGTTGCACCCTGGGACTTGACACATCGCTATGTGGACCCGTAATAAGGAGATCTTGTATTTGTTCATAGCTTGATATTATACATAGAAACATACCTGTACATGGGAGAGTCATACTAAGACATAAGTGGGCCAGCTTGACCGCAGTGATATCATGGCTTCACAGAAAACCAGTGTTAAGCAATTCTTTCGTTGCTTTTCACCGTGTGAGTGAGGTTGCTGGAGCCCAAACCCCTCTGATTCATGAACATAAGTATTCGTGCTAGTATAAAAATCGAAGATGATTATATACATACAATCATACATGCACAAACAAACGCACATACACACAAACACACACATTTACACACACATTTACACGCACACACTTACACACACGCACACTCACTAGAACTCGCTGTGATTTGTATCTGTAGCATACACTACCCCGCGTCACAGATTCCGTTGTCAAGTAAAATTTATATAGTAAAAGTTCTTTCTTTCACTTAAATATTGACGTAAAGTTACATTTATGTCTGCTTTTAAGTATGTACAATGTTCTATGTAACATGACATTCTTAATTCCTAAATCTTGAGTAGAAGTAGGTTATTCCATTTTATCGCTACCTTGGTGTTCTTGCCTAAACTGTTTTGAAGTGTTATCTATCAACAGATATGAAATATTTATAAGAACACTTAAATGGGATCAAACGAAAACAAATCATTCAGGACAAATTGCACAAGAATTAATGGTATTTTGTAACTAAAATCTGTAATAAAAGACGTCAAATTAGTGTAAAATAATATAGTTTTGTTTGAGAGAACATTTACAACAAAAGTACTTAGGTACTATTGGCACAAATTACCAAATATCAAGTAGATGTCAATAATTTCGTCATATTATTTAGCACAATTAATTTTACTCCATATAAAATTAATTAATTAAGACACATATTTACTTCTTATGAATTAATAATAATATTTAGTGTACTTATTACATACCGCTTCACGGTAAATTAGACGCTATTACTAAATATTGCTTACGTTGTTCTAGTTTTTCATGACCGAGCTCAATATTGTAATTTTTCAAGTGAAAGAAAAACGTAACTCGACTATGTTATAAGGTATAGTTTACCGTGAACCGCATATATTTTGCTTAGAGGTTTCCAATGATGAGAAGCAATAAACTAACACCAGTGTCTACATTATGAATATGTGCTCGCTAAATAGTGAAAAAAAATATTTCACAAAGGTAATGGTTTTGTTTTTAAGTCACAGGAAACAACATGTGTTGTGTTTTAATAAACAAAGATAGACGAATCTTTATAAACATATTTAGATATTTGGAATAATGTTGTGTAACGGTTACAATTTTCAAATGTTACACGTGAAATTTAATACAGAGATTGTTTGCAAATATTCTTGTTGAACTAATATTTGGCACGGTAAGACAATATTTTATACAAATCATGATCGTATCCCAAAATAATACAGCTGATATTGAATATTTGCTAAAAAAAATTGATTGTAGTCCATTAAATTTTATAAATTTAGTGACTTTTAGTTCTCAAACGGCCAAGTATTGTCAAAATTATTTTTAATAAGAAGCCCACACTATGGCGAGGACTGTAAATGATAATGTGATTATATTTTATTATAAAGTGTTTGAATGTGTGTGTAAAGCATCTCGATTACTTTCTTATAAAGTTAAAATTAACAGTGAACATTCTCGAAGTGCCCTTGTGACCGGCGGCTCGGCGGACTGTTTCAGAATTTAAGACAAAAAACATAACTGTACATTGTGAACATACACCTAATTATTACTTATATGTTAAGGATGGTAAAGTAATCTTATTGTAAACTAGTATTAATCGAACAAGAAACCTTATTATCATAATAACGCCGTCTTTTATTTCTAATCGCTTTTATTATCACTACAATTAATACTTTATTTTACAATAAGTAAAATATTCATATGACATTTTTTTTTGTTTTCTTTTTACAATATGAAGCTATTTATTTATTTATTTTTGTATTATATAGTTTAGAGGACAAAGGAGCAGACGGGACTAGACGTTAAGTAGCTACCGACACCTATGGACACTTACAACCGAAGAAACACTAGTATATTATGTGCCATTTGATGCCTCCCCAGAGTTGAGGGCAAAGACTAATGACTAACTAAGACATAGTTCACATTGCATTTTTTTTTTTGAAGCTATTTTAAAAGTATCATCATAAACTGTTCTTTGTGTTCAATAAATAATTATTAATTTTACTGCCGTGACATTCAAAAAATCTAAAATAACTAGATGCCGTTCACAAATGTCTTCATTCCTTTAAAAGGTTTCGTTTAGACATGTGTAGTTGATGTCTACGTTCAGGAAGTGATGAAAATGATATTATTTAATATAGTAACAAATATATCTCGGAACTATAAAACCATTAATAGAAATATCATTTGCTCTGTAATAACCTTTAAATTTATCAACATAGTGAAGCATACACATACACATGTTGCACCGGTGGCGTAGTGGTTTAAGTGATCACCACGCCGGTTCCTAGTGCGCTGAGTGTTGTGGGTTCGATCCTCATATGGGACCACACTTTGTGTGATCCATAAATTGTTGTTCCGAGTCTGGGTGTTCTTTGTGTTCGTTTCATTAATATTTATAAAGCCCCCACGATACGGACATATTCCTATGGCGAGAGTAGTTAAAAAAAACATATTGAATCAAATGACAAATTGGCTGTAAATCTGTGCGTTTTAGAACTGTAGGTAATTAACTGGATGCAATATTATAATTATTAACATGGAAATTGAAAAAAATAAATCACGGGGACACATGAAAAGGAAGGAACACAGATAATAAATGACACTGCTAATGTTGTCACATTAGTGAAGGGTTGGGTTGCAATTCAACAAGAACGGTCATCTGATGGTAAGTGACACCTGCTCCTTAAGAGACACAAGCGCGTTGAAATCCTTTAAGTAAGCCCTCCCCAAGAGTTAGGATGGGAGGTTGAGCCTTTTTTATGATATAGGGACAAATGAGCA